CTCATCTTCAACGTCTCCTCATTCTATGAAACATTCGTGCGGACGTATTCATTGACAGACGCCTATATTCATGTGAAAATATTATTTCAAGAACAGTTTCATGCACTCATCATCTGTGTAATAACTAACTTTAAAAGCCATATCTACACTAGTTACACCACCGACCGCAAGAAAACTAGAATGATTACAATTTGGCGAAACGTCCTTCATTGAAAGTTTTGTTCCTCTTCGTGTCACAGTCGGACCTCTAAGAAATTTCATTTGGTAGCCCACCGCGTAATGTGATTTAAACTGGATGAATACGCTCTGTGGATTTGTCGTCTAGGTCTATTCATTTTTATTCCTTTTGTTGGACTCACAATCTCTTTAAGGTACAACGTATTTGTGCAATGAAAAAGTGCAAATAAATAACCATCAGTTTGCAAAGCTTTCTTCCGGAGAGAGAGAGAGAGAGTAAATGCATGCATTCCAATAGACAGAAAATGTTTCTCGTGATTGGCCAGACCACCCACTGTTCAGCGAAACACCATGTATTGTTTCACTGAGAATTTTGATGTGATCTACTTATCCTCCTATGTGCCGCATGTTCACTGTTTTCGAAGTTTTCAGTAATGTATACTGCCAACTCACGGCTCGTTTCTGATTTACTTTCGTCACCACTTTCCTGTTGTTCTTTATTATCTTATTTTAGTATGTGATCTTGGGAATGGAGGTAGAAGTTTAGATCTTATGAGACTGTCTACTTCCGTTGTTTAATGAAGAGTGATCCTGCCTTAATGTTCAGACGAACACCAACTTTTGTAACTGCAACTCGTCTAAGTCTTTTACACTTCAGATTTTCTCCATATGGCCCATTTTACGGTGATAATTTCTGTGTTGTTGCCTATTCTACAGTTTCCCAATGGTCCCAAAACTGCCGTCACTTCAGCACCTGCCCCGAAGCCGACTACCAGTGTAACTCAGGCCAACGCTCCAGTCCAAGTTGGAAGCACATGGAAAGAAATAGATGCTTTAGGTATCAATTTGGACACATTGGCTCAACCTGACAATTTGTCGCAACGCTCAGCACCCGGGCCGAGCTTGCGCGAGTTACAAGCACAACAGAAATTCTCCTCGCCCTCGTCGATAACTGTGGATTCGAAATCCGCGCACTCATCTATTTTCGCTTCCCCCCTATCCAGTCCAATGCATGCAGGTAAGCGTAGCCGAACAGAGAAGATGGATGTATCAATGCCAGCTTGTGGTACCGATGGTCTGACTTTGAACCGTTACTTCAATCTCTACAGAAAACATGTCCCAATAGGCCCTTTGATTTCCCCACATATATCATAACGTACACTGGACAAAAACAGCTGTTTTTGGCAATACACGTTGTTTATGTCGTTGAGACCCACACAAAGGTAGGTAGACTGTCGATCACATGTCAATCAATTTTGCTCTGCAGATATCTGTGCGATGTACGAGTTCGTTTATTTTCACTCTTGGACTAATGGTACGCCTTGCGATTCAGGTATTTGTGTAGTTTATGGTGTTTCCTATCGTGATTCCTAGACATCAGTCCGATCGGCGGGTTCTGGATTTAGGATGCGGTCGATCGGCCCCCGTGACATGTAATTTTGTTAAACAGAAGTCGGCCTGCTCTGTCTTTCTCTCCCGTTTCATGATAGTTGTAGAGTAACTCTTCACGACGAGTTAAATCTTTCATCGTAATTTGGCAAACAATACATTATTATGAATCATGCAAATTACCGTTGCTCCGTATCAATGTGTTCATAGTACCCATAATATGAATGATTAGACAAAATTTTCTGGAAGCATTTGACGGGTTTCAGTTCTTGTGGCCCGTCAACTGTGAGCATATATTACTCCTCTATCAAATCTTTTTTTTTCATGCCTGCACTCACAAAGTGAATTTCACCACAAAATCTCCGATTCCTTAGAAACTTAGTACCAATCCTTTCACGTTGGCCTTTCCTGGACTAACTCCCCATCATACAGATCGTTGTGACCGGTGTAACGTTTTTAGCTCCAAACATGTTCCTCGAATCATCATTGGCCGCGATTTTGTCGTAATCAATAATCTTTTTTTTCTATTTTTGCTTTGCTCTTGTGTCTTACAGTTCCGAAAGCTTCAACTACCGCTTTTCAACAAGGACCACTTAACCCAACAGCCCGCCCAACTGCACAAGGAGCTTCTCAAAATTTGGTCGATTTTAGCTTGTTTTAATGGTTCACACCGTGTTACCCATTCTCCCATGGCAACACAGTTTTGCATACGCACATACAAACACACACGGAATGTACTGCTGCTGCTGCTGCTCCGGCCCATTTTTCCAACAACGGCGTCATCATTCATTCGAGATTTTGTACATGCTCAAATCCCCACCCTGTTTGGGGGACAGAAACGCATCTGTTTGTCCATGCGTCATTTCGCCTGGAACGATCGTGTGATGCGTGTTTGTGTTCGTGTGCCTTTTTCTTTTTTTTCTGTTTAGTGTTTTGGTCCTAATAGTTGCATGCCGTGTTAATTCGAACCGGCCGAACGCCCTTTGCCCACACCCGCACACTCGCCAAGCGAGGGAGTGTTAGGATACATCCGTTCCTTTCATCCGAAAGCACTTTAATCTTTCTTCGTCATGGTCTCCTCATGACGTTATGGTCTCTTTTTAGGTTCTTTGCGGAATACCTTTAACTCCGCTTATATGGTGTTGAACTGTATTCCTTATTTTTCTTGTGTCCCAATCGCTGGGTTGTTCTGTGATCCCCATCCGGTATGTGATCCTTTTACCACGGTTCTATTTGTTGCTTTCAAACGCACATTCTCCCAAACTTCTGTGCCTTATTGCGTTGTCGATCTGTTTTTCTGTTCGGGATGTCTGCTAAGCATGTTTATTTCCCGTGCCGCAGGGATCGATAACCGTTTCAGTGGCTGTGAAGTGAGAATCTATTTTGGTTTTCATGCTGTCCTCATTTTGCGCCCGTCTCCCCTCTCCCACCTCACATTGATTGTATCACATGCTCCGACCACCTCTTATGTACCTTGTGGCCTATAGAGCCACATGTTCGATCGATTAATACTCATTAGTCGCACAGTCCTATCCTTCCCGTTTTCTACGTTTTGTTAGTAGGCTCGTCGAATTCTTTCCACTTCTGTGATTACTCCGTTATGGTATTATTATTATTATTATTATTATTAATATTTATTATTTAAACACGAAACCAATTACAGAGAACTGGCAAATGTGCCGCAACATATGAACAGAAAGAAATCTGAAGAATGTGTTCATAGGTTGTGTGGGCATGTTACTTCCCGGTTGCGCTGGCCGATGAAGGGGATAGCTTCGGGGTCCCCACCCGAAGCCTTTGGCTAGAGGGCCAGATATTCAAGACAACAGGACGGAGCTCAGAGTCCGCAGTTTATTGGGGCCGGTGTCCAGTTCACTGAATCACACCCTTCGGACGAGGTCAAACGTCCAAGGTGCCCAATACACCTTGATGCCCGATTGAACCGGTGACCACTGCCGTGACCAGGAAGGTGTATGTGGTTCGTACGCCTCATCCTGGTTGGTTTGGAATCAGGGTTTCTAGCCAACTACCTTAGGTGAACTGCCCATTGTTCACCAACTCGGTTATAGCCCCGAATGTCGGCTTTTCGTCCTCTCACTTCGGTGGGAAAACACCTCCGCCACGAGAAGGCAGTAAGTAAGGCTTCCTCAGTAGAGGCTATTTGAAACGCTTGGCCATATAGGAGCATTTCGCGAGGTGTAAGGGAATGGTGACTAGTCTCAATACCTGACACCCACCCCCGACCATACCGAGGCTTTCGGAGGTAGAATACACCAAACTCTTATTCGAATAGGCCTAACTTGTGCGAGTCAACCCTCAAGCATGTGGGTTGCATAGAAGCAACAGAAGGTAGCATGATAGAACCGCGTAGTTCATTTGATGAGCGATATTCTCAAATGGTGTAAGTTTATAAATCGATGATATTGAGATAACACGGATACCTCTGGCATAGACACAGCTTGCCGCGTTTTCTTTATAGTTGGTCTAGGCATTGTTTCCGGGACTACACTCCTTGTTTTAACTCTCCCATTTCATCATTCTTTTTCTACGCAACGGCAGTAGATTACGTGTCTACATTCAGCTTCAGTTTGTACGCTTATTAACTATACATTTTCGTGCGCCGGTTTTGGTTGCTGTCTTTTGGCTGCGCCTTTGATTGAAGCAGCTGGGTAAAGACAGGTAAGGTGAAGTAAAGTCCAAGAGAAACTGGGAGTTTCAGTGGACTGAGGTTGCGTGGAAATTGAGGTGCACGAACCCCACTGTTTATGACACTCAGTCCCTCTAGGCACCGATTGCCACGATCACGGAGTCTCCATCCAAGGAGCCTACCGGGACCTATATGGCCGTGTTTTTAGACTTTCTGTATTCTTATTTCAGGTCGCCTTTGAATTTGCCCACCTACTACTTGCCTTGGTAAACATCGTACACTGTAAATGAGAAATGCCCATTGCCACATCGAAAAGAAAGTCCGATTGACTGAACCATCTATTTTTTGATTAATTCATCAACTGACCATTATAATCATTTGAGTTATTTGAGTTCGTCGATCTGGTTTTGACCGTATCAAAATGAGTACAGCATGTATGCTAACAATCTCAGCCTACGTTCTGTACTTATCGGAAAATAGCTTGTTTTGTCTAACGTATGCTGTACCAATCTATTTTGTGACATGTACAGCACATGTCTCAACCAGTTTAATCTATGGAGGTCGACCACTTGCTCCACGATTACCTAAAACTCTCCGTCTAATTTCAGCATTGCTCGTCAGATTTCCCC